ACTCATGTTTTTAATATAAAACGATTTTAAAATTTAAATATCTCCAACCCTTTCATTATACTCAGCCCCTTGTTGTTGATGATCTGTCCTTCTTCATCTCTGATTGAAAATGTCAGTTTATCAATTATACAATTTTTAAGTTTTTTGAAACCCTCGACTCTATCAGGCTCGGGTTTGCGCGTACCCACGGGTACGATTTATTAAGATATCAGAAGGTGTTATTGTTATACTCGCTTCTCTAATTTCTCTCACCCTAGGTTTGCTTATTCTACCTTTGATATATTCTAACGCTATCTTTTTACCTTCTTTGATGAAGTTTTTTCTTTCAAATAAAGTTGTTCTTATTAAAATTATAAGAGTATTGTCTTGTACGTCGGTTTGTGTTCCTTCTTGTCTTTTATTGTGTAAAGTTCCTGTCTTTTCAAATATTTGTTTTATTTCTTTTCCGATCGATTATAAAGCAGAGTCTAGTCTGTCTTCCTCGTACGCCTCTATAACATCGTTTATAACTCTATTGAAAGTATTTTTGTCGTTAATTAAACAGTCGTAGGGTATCTCAGGTATCATCGATTCAATAAAATCTCTATCTGTTGTCACAACCTTTGGGTATATTACACCATCATCAGTTCTTTCAGCAGGTCTCCCGTCTATTTGCGTAAAGCAATCAATCTCCGTGGTGCTGGAATATTAAAATACCCGGCATTAAACAACACCCTTTTTACGCGTACAGATTTTTGAGCGTTTAAATTATCTACAACGTCTTCGAATTTAAAAGTCTGCTCATTTTGAAACAAGTGAAACGAATGCATTTAAAATTCTTTTTGTATTAAAACCGAAACTAAAATAATGAGTTTTTAGGAGTCGTTAAAAAGCAGATATTGGGTATAGCTGATCAGGTAACGAAACAAGTAAATCAAAATGTAGCCAAGACAACCAGGCTAATGCATCAAACTGCATCCCAGGCAAAGTTTTTAAACAGCACTAAACCCAGTGAACTGGAGGTCATAGTTAATAATACCAACGAGTTTTTAACCTTGTTTCCCGACTTAACCTCGAACTATAAATTACCTCACGTTGAAACGGACGAGGATGTAGATCGTTGGAAATCACACTCCATGTCGTTTTATCAAAATCAGTTAAATTTGGCGATCTATTGCGCTACTACGGGGTGCAGTGTTGGATTCGGTCTTTTAAACGCGAGAAACCGTTAGGTTTGGGCCATCTTTAACTTTCATTTATATTTTACGGTCAGAAAGATCCTGTTCGACGAGATGACGCATTTAACGCTCTAGACAACAGTTATAATCACAGAGCATTTACCGATACCTGTTTCTTATTTGGCATAGATCAAAATAAGTCTTTAAACAGACGAGAGACATTAACTCTAACGGTTTAGGTACCTCGTACATCTTTAATAAGGAAAAGTTTGTTGCGGTTGGTGAATATGATAGAGCATTACCCGACAACCCCAACGTTATTTACGGCGGCTATCACGGTCTAGATAGTCCTAAAAAAGAGTGGAAGCCTTTACGTTCCTTGGACGGTTATTACATCGAACAAAATGAATCGGTACAGATTGCTTGGTTAGATTTATACCCGACACGAGTTCGTTTACCCCGCGGAAATCATAAAGATCAACGAATCGACCAGATCTTACGTGTTCGCTTTACTAGGTGCGCAGGCTCAAACAAAAACAAGCGTATTATCATCGGGCACCGGATTAGATGCTCAGAGACAATTCAACGTCATCGTAGAAAGCATCATCAACGTGGAAGACACATGGAAACGAGTATCGATCAATTTCAAGACTGGATGCAGTAAGCCATAAAACCTTTAAATTTTGTCGTGAAACTGGGTTTGTATTTAATTCCATCAGATATGAACTTGAGGTTTGGAACGCACGATGGATATAACAACCATCTTCAAATCGCTACCCAGATTATGAAAACTGGTTTGGTGCCAGATTAAAGCTCATAACCTCAACCGGACGACTTTGTTGATGACACCGACGACGTCGAGGTACCAACACCCCCCAGAGCCTATGACGAACGATATTGTATCACCAACACCAACACCGGCACCTACATCAACACCTACAGTTTTAACCCAGGAGCCCACGAAACTACAAACTCACCAAGACGAACAATTATCGTTGACCGTAGGAATGTTAGCTATTGTTGGCATGGGTATTTTGGCTTACGAGGCAACGCGATAAGTCACACTCTAATCACACACACACACGCCCACACACATTCTGGTAATTGTATTCTTATGGAGACATTTCTTTGTTCTCCTGTAGTAAAGTTTTCGAGTTTGAAATTGAAGTTTCAAAATGCTCTTATTTTAACCAGAATTAATTTCCCGGGCTGAAATTTTGGACTAAATATCCCTTTTCTAAAACTCTTCCATTTGCGACAAATCAACCTATCTTGGAAATTCCTAGTTTTTGAGTTAAATCCATATATCTATTTCTAAAAATTAATGTGGCCAAATTAATATGGCCTGACGTTGTGAAGTTAGCAAGTTCTTCTTCAGAGGCTAAAACAGAAATGACAGAGGTACATACATTAACATGGGGATGCACACAAACATGCAGGGCTGAAAGAAGAAACACAAAAGGAGGATTAGGTGGGAAAGGTGTGGAAAGATGCAGGGGAGGGAGGATGAGATAACAAAGAAACAAAGGGAGATAGCAAACCACAAGGGGGCTGGTATAAACAGGGGAGGGACCAGAAACGGGAAGGATCAAAGGTCACAGGGAGTGGGAACGGACAAAAGAGTGTGAGAGTGAAGGGGGATAATGCGAGGTGAAAATGAAGGTGAAAAGGGATGAAAGGTGGGGGAAGAAGGGTAAACACACACAAGGAAGACCAGGTGGATTATCTGTAACAAAAGACAATGGAGGAAGAACATGATTAATCATTTCCAAGTTGGATGTTGAGACCATGTGGTTGAATAGTTCGAACACGATTCATCCACACTTTCTCTCTGCTGAGGCGAACTGAGTCCTTACGATGGCCAAGAGATTCATTGCCCTGCAAAAACATATCAGAAATGGAGTGGTTAGGCAGGTTGAAGTGATGACCAACAGGGGTGTCTAGTTTCTTGGTGTTGACCGGTGGGCATAGAAACGCTATCTATTTCGTGAAATTCTTGTGGAGACATCTATAGAAATGTTCTTAGGAGACGTATACAATCTTTTGTTCCCTATTGTGTGCATGTCTCTGTAAGGTAGTAAATTCTAGCACACCCACACCCACCCACCCACACAGACTTACGTTATATACCTTGTGTGGACATTGCTTTGTTTTCGTGTAGTTAAGAAAACTCGGTACAAAAAATAACTTTACTTAAACTGTGAAAACTCTTTTAACCCATTTTTTTCTATGATTCCCTATAGTGTTTCTCTTCATTCTGCTACGGATAAACCTAACACAAAAATGCCTCTAAACCTGTTTTCCAGAAAGGGCAAAACCTTATGTGGACACGGCTTAGTCCACATAAGGTTAACACAACCTGCATTATGTGGACCTTTTTTGTTCACAAGTCCACATAGGGTATGTAACACAAACTCACCCACACACACACACCCACCCACCCACCCACCCACACACCAACGGAAGGCAAAGGCGGAAACAGTATGCCCCTTCGGCTTCGCCGCGGGGCATAAAAGTACATAATTATGTACTCGCAATAAGAATTTCACCTGGGTTATTTATATCTATTTTCCACTTAAAGTTATAGTCCATCATTTGCAGCCATCCGAAAAGTAACTGGCGTAATTACTATTGAAAAACAAACTTGGTTGAAAGATAGTAAGGGAACTAAACTCCCTGTGAAATTATTCTTTCTGGCAAGCTGTCATTTTGAAGTAATCAACGAAAGAAGGCATTTCCAACGGTTATTCTTAAGAAGCACCGTAGGAAAATTTAAATTAGTAGTTCGTTTTGTTATTCAGCGCAGCGCGCACAAGTATTGGAACGACGCACACGCGCGCGCGGTTGTTATAATTCGTCGGATCAGTGCGCGACGCCGCGTATAGCTGCAATTCAAAACAATTCAAAACATGATTCAGTAACTTTTGATTTGAAATTGAGATATTAGAATGCTGCTTTTCTCGGAGTGTACAGCTGAAGCTTAGCTGAAACCTCATCAGGTTAGTTGCTCAGTATCCTTTATTAGATTTTGAACACTTTTGTTGCTTAAAACGAACAAAATGCACTAATTACAAATGATGGACTATAGCTTTAAACATGCATATAATTAAGCTTGTCTTTTACGCAAAGGAAAACAAATTAGATTTTGAACACTTTTGTTGCTTCAAACGAACAAAATGCACTAATTACAAATGATGGACTATAGCTTTAAACATGCATATAATTAAGCTTGTCTTTCACGCAAAGGAAAACAAATTCTATAATTTCCAATACAACAGCATTTTAGTAGCCTCCACCAAACAATATAGCACATTGGAAAATGTTTGAAAGATATTGCCTGATAAGCTTTGCCAGTTTCCATGTGCCCATGTCAAAGGTCATTCTGCATGTACTGGGGTCCAATGTGTCCCTGTTACTGTACATCTACAACATGTACAGATAGCATAAAAACACAAACTATTTGTAATTGTAATTCTGAAAGGCTCACTCGATTTCCAAGAGCCATAGGTTTTCTGCACAAACCAGAAACCAAACTGTAGGGGGGTGTTTTGTTGTTGTGGGGGGGGGGGGGTCGTAGACATGAATTTATCCACTAGTGCTTTAAAAGATGAATTAATACTTGATCAGATACTAGAACTTAAATTGCCCCCTCCCCCCCCCCCCCCCATTTTTTTTATCATCAGGTTACATTTTCACAAGAAAGTGGCATCAATATTGTAATAATAATGACTAACAGTTGTTGCACAATGCATGAAGACAAATCCGTGAACGTGAGAAAAAAAAATGTCTAATCAGAGGTCCAGTTGACTCGGGCACATGTATACCATGACAACAGTATAGCTGTTAATGAAATGGATAATTCCAAAACTTTCTCCATGGCAGTCCTGACACTCCATAATCGTATCTCAGCTCTGTCCCTGGGGGACATCCCTGGTGGCAAATAAACACAAGTGGTTCCTAACCACCTGCATTTTGCAGTTCGCCTCCTTTGCAACATCATCGTTCACCATTCTGCCCAGGCCGCTGGATCTGGTAGCATCCACACTAATCAAATGAATACTAAGCATTAACCTTTCGGTTGTAAGTAACACAGGCAAGAAGAAAATTAACCCGCTGTCCACAATCTACCAATTCCAATACATGTGTATGATATCACATCCTAGAGAGTTGGGTTGAATAATTCTGTGGGGCTCTACCCTTTTTAGTTAACTGTCAAAGCCACTCCACAAGCCTTTTCCTATTGCCAACTTTTTAAGGTCAAGCTATAAACACTTTTCACGGGAGACTTTTCACCTGAGGGTGTATTAAAGAAAATGTACATAGCCTTGCAGTAAATCCCTTTGTAAATATTTCTTGAAGTTTTAAAATACATATACATGGGCTGATATACAGAAAGCAGCATTTTGGAAAGTTACTGTCATTACATATGTAAGACAAAAATAATACCACACATAAGATGGTTAAATGACAAAAACATGAGGCTTGTTGCAATGTACAGTATTGTTTCATAAAGCCACAGCTAGGCCATCTTGATTTCTGGGGATGGAAGCTCTTGACTGCCATTACCCAGTTTTGATAAGTAAAATACCTTATAAAGTAACTAAAATATACATGTAGTAGGAATAAATGACTTCATTACAACTATAACAATTTTATAGAAGCAAATAAAGGAGAAATAGATGTGTTCTAGTAATGAACAATGAACTCACTACATCATGTGTTAAACTTACCATTCCCCCCCCCCCATGCTTGAAGAAGAACATAAAGCTACCCTCCGCAGGAGAATACTCCTTTTCTCGCTGGATAGCCTCCTTATGTTCTATGTGTTCTCCTTTGTATTCAAGACGAAATTCCCCTCTTTTAAAGGGTTGCGTTGTAAACACACCATGTCCTTTAAAAGAAAATAGATTCAATTGCTATTAAAGATGAATTGTGTGCCCTTTTTAGATGGAGCTCCTAAAAAAATGATTTTCCAATTGATAATTTTCTAGGATTTCAATTTGTTATGAGCTTTCCAATGAGTCACCATGAGGCTTTGTGTGCAAGACTTACAGGCTTTAAATGAGGACAGGGAGCTTGTGTGCTTTTTTTCAATTAATCCGGGATAATTTCATTAAAAATGCTACACAATGCACATCTACATGTATAGTACATGTACATGTAAAGTACTGAAAGTTATTGATTTGTGGTAGGACCATGTTGATACGTCTTTTTTGGGACCAAGTATTTGTATGGTTCTGAAGAGAACAAGGGCAACTCTATCTTCATTTCGGAGAGTGTTGCTCTGCCTGTCGACAGTACATATGTAGTAATTGTACACGTCCTTTTGATACCCAAAGTTAAGCTTAGTCAGTAACTACAAGATGAACTACATGTATTTTTCCCCTCATCTCAAGTTTCTTACCAATATTTTCATTGATGAAGAGACAAGTCAGCCCACTTTTGTCTTTTCCACTTTCGATGTACTGTTGCGCCTCAACTAATGAACAGGCATGACTTCTCAGGCCAGTACGACTTCTGAGCGCCATCAGCACATGCATACATGTATCACTGTTAAGAAAGGACCCAACTTCGTCTCCGTCTCCGGCTTGGTCTCCAAACCAGTGTCTTGCTGTAGGCGTTAAGTTTACTTGAAATAAAAAATACTTCAACAGTTGCCTCTTTTGCATCTCACTTGATGTTTCAATGGCACTATTGGGCTAATTGTTGAGTGGACAACTTTAAAACAAGGGGGTCAAAAAACAGATGAAGCCTGAGACAGAGACGACGTTGAGTATTGGAAAATGGCCTGTAAAAATCTTACGATTCAAACGCAAATCACGTGACATCAATTTAAAGGTGCAGTTTTTCACCATATGTGTTGAACATGTTAACAGCTAGATTTTGGAATTTTTTTCTGTATCGAACTGACTACACCGGAGCACACTTCTAGCCCACCTCGTATAAAGGGTTGCCGAATGAAATCGTCATAATGACGTCATGGGGGTCTCATGACCTTTGATTAAAGTTGATGTTTGTTTTCTAAAGGTTTTGTACACTTTTTTCTTTTACTATGCATTGTTATCGGTCTTAATGGCAGAGGGAATCTCAACTTCGGCCGGGGATTACTGTGAGAATAAAAGAGAAATCAGACTGCATTTTCGCTTGCCTTCGATTACAAATATAAACAAGAATCAAAATATGAAATAACATTTTTTTTCAACAACTTTAAATTCAAAGTGTTTAAATTTAAAGGTGCATTTTTTCAACATTTTTTTAACACGTATTTCAATAGCCGGATCTTGGCATTCTTGTGAAAGCTGATTGACTTCATACTGGTGCAAACTCGTAGTCCACGTCGTAAACAGGGTCCCGAACGTAAGGTCAAAAAACAAAAGTCTCCGGTTTCTGGTATGCGCGCGCGTCGCCGTAGCCATGCGCGTCGGCAAAATGATTTTTTTTTGTGCAAGCTCCATACCAGAAACAGGAGACTTGGGGGGGGGGGGTGCCTAATTGGCATATAATGACATTGGAGTGGCCTGTAGTTTCGTCCGCGTCCTTATGAACAAACCATGCTGTTCCTTGCGCGGCAAGGCCTAAGCATACACTTCAACAAATACTAGTCTCTCTGAGTTCACAGTTCAGGTCTTTAACTAGCTTATGCCCTTTGATTAATGCTTGAGTATAAATTGCAATATGAAAATATTGTTTTTAATAATCTGTGTTGATTCCATTGGATGCAATGGTTGACGGTAATAACAGTGTGCTTTTTTTATGAATGGCGGAGCATATGTTTAGCAACGGCTTCATGGCCGCGCCTATATTGGCGAAGAGTGTTCCCAAACTGTCAAGAGAAGTCCTGTCTTTATCGCCGCTGCGAAATGAGCAATGCCCAGCAGCTTAAGATTCGGGGGCTTGCTTGCTTGCTTAGGCCATGATCACCGCGCGGCCCCTTCAGCTCTAGAACTCGTCAACACTGTCTGAGCTAGCTATATACCACACCAGAACACACTTTTTTTTTTGGGGGGGGGCGCCAAAAACTATTTTGGTCCCCCCCAAAAAGTGGGTCAAAAAATTACGGCTTGTGGTTCGGGGCCCGCTTAAGGGCCCCGAAAAATGTTTGGATTCTAGATGCTCTGTGGTGCAATCTGAGGCAATTTCTGACCACCTTTAACCAATGTTTTTTTGAGGAAAAGATGGTGGTGTACTCATTGCCTGCCTTTATTGCGATGTCGCATAAAAAAAAAAAAAAAAAAATGGTTTCTTTTTTTGGGGGGGGGGGTCATGGCCCCCTTTGCCCCCCCCCCCCCCCCGGATCCGCCCTTGACCTGGTTAGGTAATTATTTTGCAAACAGGATTATTATTTTTTTTATTTGATCTGCAAAATTAAGACCTGAGACGAGACAAATGAATCAACAATTAAATAACTATGAAGCAGATCGAGCTCTCCAAACGGTGCAGGATTACCATAAGTGATAGAGTAAGAGTTGAATGACATCCCAGGCTTATGATCGGTTGTTTTACACAGTGTTGACCATTAGTTTAGACAATTGTAAAATGAGCAAATTGCCACTCTTTGATTTGGGGACAAATGATTTATGTTCGGAAGAATGCACACCGATCATTCGGGTGGCTAAGATCTTGCAGTTTTTGGACGCGTTGGCAGCTCGCCGTATCTTTTCTCGCTGTGATGTTTGAGGTGATTCAGAGATCAGTTAGAACCAGATGTAGACAACATTACGAGAACACCCGGAGTCCATTGTGTATCCCCAGAAACAAAGTAAATTTTCCAAGACATCTCCAGGATGGGTGTCACTTGACTACAGAAGACATGATCAAATTTCGGAAAGGGATTACAGAAGCAGTCTTTCGTTACCGCCAACGCTGAATTCCCTCAATGTGCATGTTCTTTGACTCTCTTAAGTACGTGTCCAGTGAAGCGTGAAGAATACACCCCAGTTCGACAGAAGGATGAGTCTCCTAAAATTGATAACTCAGGATGATTATAATAATGAGTGATTTTAACCATAGTTGCCTCTTCATGTACCATTCAACATCTCTTTGGTTGTTTGCAACAGTGAGTAAGAGGGGTGGAACTGTAGTTTGATACCTGTTCAAAGTGAATGTTACCACAATAATGTTATCTATGTATTACAGTTGTATTATCTTCTGAAAGACTAAAGGCCGGTTCATACTTCGAGCGAATGCAAAAGCGAAGCGAATTTGACGTCACCCAAAATTTGCGGCGAAATTTCGCTCAAGCTGAAATGTGTTCAACTTTCACGAATTCGCGGCGCGAATAGTTGATCTGACGCAATAATTTCGCCGCAATAAAGGCGGAGCAATATATTCAGCCACGGCTTGACCACACCTATGGGCGTTGAATGTTCTCCAACCTTCAAGAGAAGTGTGGTCTTTATTGCCGCTGCGAACTGAGCAACGCCAAGCAGCTCAAGATTTTGGGGGCTTGCATGCTTAGGCCTCGCCAGCAAACCTCCAGCTCTAAAACTTGTCAACACTGTCTGAGTTACGTACCACACCAGGTTATGTAATTATCATTGCAAACAGGATTTAAAAAAAAAAATTAAAAAAAAGAGCTTAGATTAGACAAATCAACAAGTAAAATAACTATTGGATTGCTATCTGGTGTCTGACTCATCTCCTTGGGGGTAATTGGAGCCTCATCACCTAACACGGACAGTACCACCCCACCACCAGGGGCAGCCTAGAAATCCATGTCCCGTTGCAACATCACCGAGGGTCACGTGACATAAAATTAAAGTAGACGTTTTTTCCCATAGGCTTTGTACACGTTTTTGTTTTTACTATGCATTGTTATCGATCTTAGTGACAAGGGGGTTCTCAATTCTCGCCGGGGATAAATATAAGAACGAACTTGAAAGAGAATTCAGAGAAATTGTTCGGTTTCGTTCGATTAGAAACGAACCCTAGAATAACACCATGAAATCAAACATTTTGTAAACATATTTCGATTCAAATGCAACTGGACATAAATTTAAAGGTGTCATTTTTCTCCATATGTTTTGTGGGTGTTTTGCATCAGTCAAAGATTGCGGTACCAATAAAACTGACTGACTTCCCCAAGGGGGTGTCAGATAAAAATCATCACAATGATGTTATCAGGGGTCACGTGATATGAGATTAAAGTTACAGTCTTTCTCAATAAGTTTTGTACGCCTTTTTCTTTCACGTTTTTATATTGATATCAGTAAGAGAGTGGTCCTGTAAAAAGAGAATTTATGTAAAAGTTTTCTTTTCGATCGATTACAAATATATCCTACATTCAAAATATGAAGTTATATTTGATGAAAAACAACTTCGGTTCAAATGCAAATTATGAATTTAAAGGTCATTTTTTTCTACAGAGATTTTGTGCATGTTTTTTAATGTCTGAGCGGGACTCCGGCACTTATTATGAGGTGCATATTTACTCAATCAGCCTGAGAGGGTGTCAGACAAAAATCGTGACTACACCGGTACCATTGGTTTGCTACACGTTTTTCACAATGCACTGTTAATACCAATCTTGACTCATTGATTCTCAACTTCGGCTAAAGTTTCAACAGAATAATTTTTTTTCATTCTCAAATTTTCACATGGCTTTATTCAATTAGTTGTTGTCAAAACCCTTTATCTAGTTTCTTCTAGTATTTTATATTTCACTGTTTAAATGAAATGTATTTGCATTATGCACACTATTATAGATTGTTCGTCAATAGAGGGCAGCATAAACACCACATGCATGACAGTGATCAAAGTTACACACACGTACGGTAGTCAGTAGAGGGCGCTCTTGTTATTATCTTATGGAGTCCACACCTTGCGATTTTTATTTGATAAACATTTTGGTCATTATGTGGACTTATTAAAATTGCCCTTAAAACAACTAAGTCTCTTTTCCTGGCTAATAATAAGCCAAAAAACACAATGTGGACCTAGTGTAAGTCCACACAGTGCAGGTGTGGACGGTAATTCTGTCCCCCGGTAAAAGTGTCCGGGGGGACAAAATTACCTAGGAAAAAGTGTCCCCCCTGTCCCGTTAATTGTGTCCCCCTCCAGGTAATTCTGTCCCCTCCAGTTAATTCTGCCCCCCCCCCCTGGTTTTGCACGCATAAGTTGTTATATTGATGTTATTATAATAAATTCAGCGCACAGGTATACATTTTTAGATTTTTCCACCCTTCATCAATAATTATCAAAATGAATTTAACGTTTAGATGTTAATCAACCGATCTATATTTCTGCAAGAAGGCACGCGTAGTAATACTCAACCTATCGCTAGCGCGCACGCGCATCAGCCGCCGATACACGTGTGACAGTCAAGGCGGACTTCAATGAGGAGAATTGGCAAAATTATACGCGACACGGGTCACCGCGCCGCAGGCCTGATGCTGGTGCAATGTTGTCCCCGTCCCCGGCCCCGGCCCTGGCGCGGCCCGTAGGTGCGGTATCGCGCGCACGCCATCCATGCAAATCGTTCGCTCCCGAAGTCGTCATCAAAACGGGAGTTGTGCTTTGACGTAAGCAC